TATACATAAAACCATTATGAAGACTGGATTATAAGCTGGGTGCAGTTGTGCACACCTGCAATCTCAGCAGCTCAGGAGGCTGAAGCAGAAGGATTTCGAGTTCAAAGCCAGACTCAGCAATGGCAAGGTGTTAAACAACTCAGTGAGACCCTGCCTCTAAATAATTAAATACAAAATGTGGCTCAGTGGCTGAGTGCCCGAGTTCAATCCCTGATAAGGGTGGAGATTGGATTATGAATGGCTATTCCTTTTTCCTTATCCACAGTTTCTAAATTTTTAAATATATCTCCCCCCCCATTCCAGTTCTAGGGACTGAACTCAGGGGTGCTCTATCACTGAGCTGTGTCCCCAGCCCTTTTCATTTCTCATTTTTATTTATTTATTTTTGGGGGGTCAGGGATTGAATTCCAAGGGACTCAACCATTGAGCCACATTTCCAGCCCTATTTTGTATTTTATTTAGAGACAGGATCCCACTGAGTTGCTTAGCACCTTGCTTTTGGCTTAGGCTTTCTTTGAACTTGCAATCCTCCTGCCTCAGCCTTTTGAGCTGCTGGGAACAGGTGTGTGCCAACACACTGGCTTATTTTTTATTTTGAGGCTGGGTCTCTAAGTTGTTTAAGGCCTCTTTAAATTGCCCAGTCTGGGCTTAACTTATGAATCTCTTGCCTCAACCTCTGAGACCCTGGGATTATAGGTATGCATTACACCCAGCTGAACATATTACTTTTGTAAAGAAAATATTATTAAACTTGTCCAAAACTGAGCTCTTTCACAAACATAATTATTTCTTAAATAAAACCATCAATCTAGCTCCCAAATCTCTCAAATCTCCTTCCTCTTTCTGTCACCAAACTCTTTACGATTTTACTCTCTGGGCTGGGGTTGTAGCATGGTGGTAGAGTGCTTGCCTAGCTTGTGTGTGGCAATGGCTTCAATCCTCAACACCACATAAAAAAAATAAATTAAATAAAGGCATTGTGTCTATCTATAACTAAAAAGAAATATTTTTAAAAAACATTTTACTTTCTAGGACTGGGGTTGTGGCTCAGCAATGGAGGGCTCGCCTAGCATGTGTGGGGCCCTGGGTTCGATCCTCAGCACCACATAAAAATAAAATTGGGGTGTTGTGTCCAACTACAATTAAATAAACAAATTTTTTTAAAAAAATTTACTTTCTAAATCATGTCCACTCTTCATCCTCACTGCTTTAGTCCAGACCCTCAGATTTTTTTAGTTATAATTTTTTTTAGTTATAATTTTTTAATTTTTTTTTTAGTTATAGACACAATACCTCTATTTAATTTATTTTTATGTGGTGCTGAGGACCAAACCCGAGGCCTCACACATGCTAAGCAAGCACTCTACTACTAAGCTACAATTGGAGCCCCCAGAACCTCAATTTTTAATAACAATAGTCTTTTGTGGAGTCCCAACCCCTAATCCACTTCCACACTGTAAGAGGGACCTTTCTAATACAAACTGAACAGGTTGCTCCAGTTGTTGAAATACTTTAACAACTCCCCATTATCACAAGAGAAAAATCCAAACCCTCAGCCTCTCTGGCTTCATCTCCTATCACATCATCTCAAGTAATAATCTAAACCTCCGTATGCTTTCTCACAAATCACCATCCTTTCACATTCTGCTTTAAGTGACTTTCTTCTGACTAAAATCTGCTCACTTCAGACTCAGTTCAAGCATTACCTCTCCTCAGGGCCTTTGCCTCCCCTTCCTCCTCCCACTATAGCCACAGTAGCTCTTAATGGGCTTTGCATACAAAATTTCACCTCAAATGGAGTTCATATACATCCTAAGAAGATGTCTGAAAACCAGAGGTTATGGGGAAAATAAGTACAAGTTGGCAGATCTAAACTCTAGTCCTACTTCTGAGACCAATCTAATTAAACAAGTCACTTTCCCCTTCCCACTCCCTACTTTTCCTGAACTGTACCCCAGTCTTTTTTAGGGCCTTGTGCATGCGAGGCAAGCACTCTACCAACTGAGCTATATCCCCAGCCCCCCAGCCCTTTCTATTTTGAGACACAGTCTCATTAAGTTACCCAAGCTGGCCTCAAATTAAGCAAGTCACTTTTCCTCTTCAAGACACAATTTCTTACCTATTAAATACCTAATTATATAAATAATTATGTGCACACACATATGCATATGTATATATATTATGTACACACACACACCTCTGGACCATTTTTGTCAGAAGTTACTTTTACTTGTAAATTTTACTAAAATGAGAAGGCACAGATTCCTTCCCCCTTTTTTTTTTTTTTTTTTTTGGTACCAGGGATTGAACTCAGGGGCACTCAACCACTGAGCCACATCCCCAGCTCTATTTTTTGTATTTTTATTAGAGGCAGGGTCTCACTGAGTTAAGAGCCTTGCTGTTGCTGAGACTGGCTTTGTACTCACGATCCTCCTATCTCAGCCTCCCAAACCACTGGGATTTAGGGGTACAACACCGCAACTGGCCCCTTTTTCTTTTTGAGACTGAGTATCACTAAATTGCTCAGGGTCTAAATTGCTAAGGTTGGCCTTGAACTTGTGATCCTCCTCTCAGTCTCCCAAGCCACTGAGATTATCCAGCTACAGATTCCTTCTTTATTATGTGATACCAGGAGGTTTCACAGCCCAGGTAAGGTTAGAGTGGCTGCCTCCCTGTTTTTTTTTCCTCCCATTATTGAAACTTTGCATTCTTACCAATCTATTCCATAAGCTTCTTTCTTTTTTCCCATTACTAAGGACTAAACCCAGAGTATGATGTTTAACCACTGAACTACATTCCCAGCCCTTTTTAATTTTCATTCTTTTTTTTAATTAACCTTAGCAAATATCAACATTTTATTTTCTATTAATTCTTATTTTATCATCAGGCATATAGAAAGTCTATTAAGAACTTACTAAAAATATTCACTGAATTAATAACTTTCATTTTAACAGATATACCTATTGTGTTTCTTTTTTTTTATTTCATATATGACAAATAGTGGAATGCATTACATTCATAATTATCCATTCACAGCACAATTTTTCATAACTCTGTATATAAAGTATGTTCACAGCAAATTATGCGATTATACATGAGTTCTCTTATTGATTTTTTTTGCATTACAATTCTTAATACACCTTTATAACACAATTTATCATATCTCTGTTTGTATATAAGATATGCTGACACCAAATTCACATCTTCATACATGTATTTTGTATAATGATGACCATCCCCTTCCACCATCCTTGCTATTCTCCTTCTCCCTCCCACCCCTATTCCCTATCTAGAGGTAATCTTTAATTTCCATTCTGAGGCAGCAATCTCACTAAATTGTGGAGGCTAGGCTTGAACTTTCTTGCTTTCTTTTTTTTTTTAAGAATTTTTAGTGTAGGGGCTGGAGTCTAGCTCAGCAGTACAGTGTTTGCCATGTATGTGTGAGGCACTGCGTTCGATTCCCAGCACCACATATAAATAAGCAAATAAAAAATAAGGGTCCATCAAACAACTTAAAAAATATTTTTACAAAATTTTAGTGTAGATGGACACAATTTATTTTATTTCTTTATTTATTTTTATGTGGTGCTGAGGATCGAACCCAGTGCCTCACATGTGCTAGGCAAGTGCTCTATCGCTGAGCCACAATCCCAGCCCTGGGCTTGAACTTTCAATCTTCCTTCCTCAACCTCCTGACTATCTGGGATTATAGGCCTGAGCCACCATTCCCAGCTTCCTTCCTTTCTTTTTTTAGAAAATTTTATTTATTTAATTTTATTGATTAATTGATAGGCACTCGGAATTGAACCCAGGGCCAGGGGTGTTTATCACTGAGCCACATTCCCAGCCCTTCTTTTTTTTTGGTACTGGGGATTGAACTCAGGAGCACTCAACCACTGAGCCACATCCCCAGCCCTATTTTGTATTTTATTTAGAGACAAGGTCTCACTGAGTTGCTTAGCTCCTCTTTTGCTGAGGCTGGCTTTGAACACGCAATCCTCCTGCCTCAGCCTCTTAAACCACTGGGATTACAGGCATGTGCCACCAGGGCTGGCTCCTTCCTTTCTTAATAGGGTGTAAAACATGATATGTTTGACTTTAAAATAAACTGTCTCAGGGCAGAAAAGGAAAAAATGAACTTGTAGCAAGAAACAACCAACAAGAATCCCTGTCTCTTTTCTCAGGGATACCAAAGAAATGACACAATCTCCTTTTTTTTTTTTCTTTTATTTATTTATTTAGTTAGTTAGTTCTCAGCGGACACAACATCTTTGTTGGTATGTGGTGCTGAGGATGGAACCCGGGCCGCACGCATGCCAGGCGAGCGCGCTACCGCTTGAGCCGTATCCCCAGCCCATAAATTTGGATTTTTTTATTGATCCTATAACTAAACTATTTTAGTGACTACATGACACCAATGAACTCTACAGGAATTGTTTGATAAGTAGGTGATCCCCCACCATATCCAGGATAGTGCTCCCCTGGTGCCCAGGGATCCTCTTTTTTTTTTTTTTGTGGGGCTGGGAATTGAACCCTGGGCCTTGTGCATGCAAGGTAAGCACTCTACCAACTGAGCTATATCTCCAGCTCCACAATCTCCTTTGAAAAGCAAATAATTCAGGAAGAAATACAAGTTCCTAATCCAATGCAACCAGTTCAAATTTCCATTTAGAATGAACCAGGACAAGGAAATAAAACATGCCATTACAGTAATAAATGGACCTCTTCAGAAGTCATGAGACTAAATGATGAGGACAGACAATATTGGTTCTCCATTTTCCCATACCAAATGTCATGAGTATACTATGTCTATACAAGGAATTCCTAAGTATCTATGAATACTAGGACCAAAAATCTGGGATGTTAAAAACAGAATTAAAGGGCAGGCTCAAAATAACATTGGTATGGGCAGGAAAATCGAATTTTTAACCAATTTTTAACCAAGGCCATCAATCTGTTTACTTAAAGGTTTGGAGATAGACTAGTAGAAGACTACCTACCTGATTAAAAGTGGGAGGGGGAGGAGGGCCAGGAGGGGGAGGAGGGGGAGGAGGAATTGGCATCCTTGCCCTGCTCCCTGTTGGCACTGCTCTCTCTCCGTGTTTACTTGCAGCTTTAGGTCACTCATATACCTGTAAACGAAATAGATAATCATAAGAATTACTTTACCATTAAAGACACTGAGGAGTCTCGCACACTTTAAGAGGACTAGAGGACTAGGCATGGCACTAGAAAGACTAAGCACCTCATATTCTAGATGTGATGTAATACAGTCCAGAGCTTGGTAAACATTCTTGATAAAAGGCCAGATAACAAACATTTTAGGCAACAGTCTCTGTTGCATATTATTTTTCCTTTGTTTTGTTAACCTTTCTTTCTGTTTCTTTTCTTTCTTTTTTTTTTTTTTTGAGGTGCTGGGGACTGAACCCAAAGCCTCGTGCATACTGAGGAAGAACTCTCCCTACCTCTGAGGCACAACAAAGCCCATTCCCTTCTTTTTTTTAAATGAATAAGTATTTATTTATTTATTACCAGGGATTGAACCTAGGGGAGCTTAATCACTGAGCTCTTTTGAGACTGGGTCTCACTAAGTTACTTAGGGCCTCACTAAGTTGCTGAGGCTGGCTTTGAACATGAGATCCTCCTGCCTCAGCCTCCCAAGTTGCTGGGATTACAGGTGTGCACTGCTGTGCCAGCTTAAACTTTATTTTTAAAGCAGTTTTAGATTCAGCAGCAAAATGAGCAAAAACTACATAAAATTATCATATACCTCTGTCCCCACACATGAATACCCTCCCATACTACAGGTACATTTGTTACAAATGATAACTCTATAGTGACACATCATTAACATCCAAAGTCCATAATTTACATAGGGTTCACTCTTGGTATGGTACATTTAGTGGGTTTTGACTAATGTACAATGAGTTACATCTACCATCTTATAGTATTATATAGAAGTTTTATGGCCTTATAAATCCTATATCTATTAATCTTGTTTTCCTCCCAATTCTTTCTTTTTTACATATAAATTTTTTAGTTGTAGATAGACATAATACCTTTATTTATTTTTATGTGGTGCTGAGGATCGAACCCAGTGCCTCACATGTGCTAGACAAGCACTCTGCCACTGAGCCATAACCCCAGCCAATCCCTCCAATTCTTAAGCAACCACTGATCTTTTTACTATCTTCATAGTCTTTCTGATTCTAGAATGTCATATAGTTGAAATCATATACCATAGAGCATCTTCAGATTGTCTTTTCATTTGGTAATAGGCATTTAAGAGTCCTTCATGTCTTGACATCTCTTTTAGCTTCTTTTGAGATGAGGTCTCATTATATTGCCCAGGCTGATCTCTAATTCCTGTACTCAAGTGATTGTCCTGCCTCAGCTTCAGAGTTGCTGGGACAATAGTCACATGATACTACATCCATTTTTTAGCTCTTTTTCTTTTTTAGTGTTGACTAATATTCCATTGTTTAGATATACTACAGTCTGCTCATCCATTCCTACTGAATGACATCTTGGTTGCTTCTACGTTTTGTCAATTCTGAAGAAAGGTGCTATAAACATCCATGTGAAGGGTTTTTCAACTCCTTTGGGTAAATACTAAGCAGTGTGACTGTTGGATCACATGATAAAAGTATGTTGTATTCTGTAAGAAACTGCCAGACTTCTTCCAAAGTGGCTGTACCATTTTGCTTCACATCTTTGCAGCATGGGTGGTTTTGGATTTTGGCTATTCTTTTTTTCTTTGTTTGCTGGTCTGCAGTACTAGAGTTTGAACCCAAAGGCACTCAACCACTGAGCTACATATCCAGCCCTTTTTATTTTTTAGACAAAGTCTCGCTAAGTTGCCCAAGCTGGCCTCAAACTTGCGATCCTCCTGCCTCAGCCCAAGTTACTGGAAACATAGGCAAGCACTACTGCAACCACATAAAAAAGGATTTGTTTGTTTTTTGCCAGCACTGGGGATGGAACCCAGGTCCTTGCACATACTCAGCATGTGCTCTACCACTAAGATGTATGAATTTTGGCACTTGTATAAGGTGTGTGGTGGTATCTTGTTTTAACGTGCAATTCCTTAATGACATGATGTTAAACATATTTTCATATGCTTACTTGCCATCTGTATATCATCTTTGGTGAGGCTGTCTGTTTAGGTCTTTTGACTTTTTGTATGTGTGTGCTGGGGACTAAACCTAGGGCTCTACCATGATAAACCCATGCTCTACCACTGAGCTACACCCAATCCCTATTTATCATTTTTTTTCTATTTATCATTTTTTAAAACTGAGTTGTTTTGTTTTCTTATTGTTCAGTTTCAAGAGCTCTTTATATGTTTTAGATAACAGTCCTTTATCAGATATGTCTTCTGCAAATATTTTCTCCCAGTCTGTTGCCTGTCTTTTTCTTCTCTTGATTTTCACAATCTTTTAAAAATAAAAACCAGTCTTAGTTTGAGGGCCAAATAAAAATAGGCTATGGATCAGATATGACTCATAGGCCATAGTTTACTGACACCTGGTATAAGCACATTCACGGAATGTGATAAGAGTATAACTTACCACCTGAGAAGGTAGTCACTTATCAAGTCGTAGAACAGCACTCAAAAACTACAATAGCTGCCCCCCACAGTCACACTCATGGAAGCTGATCAGAGCATAACTACCAATGAAACGTTAGCCACCTATCAAGTAACAAAACAGCACTCAAATATACTGCTGTCCCCCTATTATAGTTTTGTTGTTGTTGTTGTTGTTGTACTAGAGATTGAACTCCTGGGCATGCCACCACTAAATTACACCCCAGCTGCTGCTGCTATTGTTCTTTTTCTTCTTTTTTTTTTTGGAGTCACGGTCTAAGTTGCCAAGGCTGGCAAACTTGCAATCCTCCTGCTTCAGCTTCCTAAATTGCTGAGATTATAAGCACTTACTCTCAGGCCAGCCCTCTATTATAGTTTGTAACTAATCTGCATTTCACAAAATGAGGCTAAAACCAGGAAAGTAATTTACCCTAAGACATTAAAATAGGAGCCAAAGATATAACAGTAGTTACTTCTAAAATGATTGGTCTCAAGGAAATCCCATTTCTTCCTTTCTTTCCTTCTGTCTCAGTATGTTGTCCAGACTGGTCTCAAAACTGCTGGTCTGCAGCAGTCCTCCTGCCTCAGCTCCCACAAGCAGCTGGGACTATAGGTGTGCATCACTGTGTCCAGCTAGGAAATTGCATTTCTTGATCCCCAAAACTGAAATATAAAAAGGGCTGGGAATGTGGCTTAGTGGCTGCTCATCTTAGAATGCATATCAGCTCTATGCCAAAGCCACCATGGCTTCCTCAGGCTAAATTTTAGCTAATAACAACCACAAGATTTCTAAGATTGAAGATAAGAGTACTACAGTTGTCCTCTGTCCTGTTACCAAACCAAGTACATTTTAGCCCCTGACCACCAAGCAATTCACTGCAACCAAGCAGAAGCTACACACACATTTCCAGACATTTTATATATAGGCAGTAAAAGATACTAGCCATTTTTCCTTTCCAGTCCTAGGATCTACAATACAGTAAGGAAAAGAAAATGTGCCTCTTTGTATTGTCAAAGCTAAAAAACAACTTGAAATCACAGTGCTATAACATCTTCAAAAAAGATGTTGCATAAATCCAAGGCAGATGATTATTACATCTATTTTCAAAGCCTGTGTCAATTTTCCATTTTTCCAAAAGCATTAATAGATTCCTGGATTTAGGCAGCAAAATATAGAGTAGCTAAATACTCATAATTAATATTTCCTCCCCACCCACATATCCTAAGAACCAGGGGATTTAGGGATTTAGCCAGAAAAATGGAGTCACACAAGGCCAAAGTTATTATCATCAGTCAATATTTAATACTAGGGAAGAGAGGGGAGTTAATCAGATGAAAGACACATCCTAATTTAGAAATGCAGACCAAAGCTAGACAGACTAAAACAGAGTCTGAATACAAAAGCAATGCTAGGTGATAGCTAAGGAGTTTGTCATGGAAGCATGAGATGTCACTCATAGTTGAGAAAGAACTCTTCTAAATCAGGGTTTTCAAATATGCCTTAAGATAAGATACATTTAGAGGATCTGTTTAAAACACAAACACAAAAATATCTGTGGGGGCTGGGGTTATGGCTCAGTGGTAGAGTGCTTGCCTAGCACATGTAAGGCCCTGGGTCTGATCCTTAGCACCACATAAAAATAAATGAATAAGGGTATTGTATCCAACCACAACTAAATAAATAAATAAATAAATACATAAATCTGTGGGCCCTAAATCCACACCCACTAAAATCAGAAAATTTCCAGAAGACCTGATATTTTATATATTAAAGAAGCACTTTAAGTGATTCTTGGGGTTAGGGAAATCTGGAAAACACTGTATCAAAGGAGTATTACTAATCACAGACACAGTATTACACTGCACAGATACTATGCTGTTTGAATGGACATCTGCAAGAAAAAGCTGATGAATGTGTAGGTTAAACATGATAGACTAAATGCATTTATCAATGTTCCCTCATAAAAACACCATTAAAATGACAGCAAAGATGGGCTGGGGTTGAGGCTCAGTGGTAGAGTACTTGCCTAGCATGTGTGAGTTATTTTATTATAAATAAAATAAAGTTATAAGAAAGTGTTGGAGATAACTATTAGAATCTATGTTCTAATTGGTTGTACAATTAAAAAAAATAAGGGCTGGGGTTGTGGCTCAGTGGTAGAGTACTCGCCTAGTGTGTGAGAGGCCCTAGGTTCGATTTTCAGCACCCCATAAAAATAAATAAATAAAAAGAAAGGTATTGTGTCCAACTCCCCCCCCCCCCCCAAAAAAAAAAAAGACAGCAAAGAGCCAGGCCTGGCTGTGCACACCTGGAATCAAAGCAATTTGGGAGGCTAAGGCAAGAGTATCACAAATTCAAGAACAGTCCCAGCAATTCAGCAAGGCCTTAAGCAACTTAGCAAGACCCTTTCTCAAAAAAAGAAAATTTAAAAAGGGCTGGGGAGGGGCTAGGGCTGTAGCTCAGTGGCAGAGCCCTTGCCCTGCATGTGTGAGGCACTGGGTTCGATCCTTACACCATATAATAAAATAAACAATAAAAAAAGA